TGTGATGCATGTACTGTAAGAGGCAGAGCGTGATTCAGAGAGATGCAGCAATACTGGAACCAGTATACAGTGACGGTGTTTTTCCTCTCAAGACATCGATCCAAAATAAACACATTCTTGCAACAATGCAAATGAACCACTTCTTTGTCCATCTTACGCACAACACAAGCTTTGTGCTCTTGTGTAAAGACTGAAATGGTTATTGTTTACATTGAAGTATTGAGTTTTAACTGTCAGGCCTCCAGACTAATAGCATTGATGCCACAATCTTCTATATATGGGTAGTTGAGATTAAGATTTGTTAAATTTTTATGATTGTATTGAATTAATGCATGCAATTGCCAATAATATTGGATATTTTATCCCATATGTGATCTCACGTTTAATATTTTGATTAGAGTTTTCGACCAGAGTTTATAGGCACCTGTTGGAATGCTTTAAGGCAAATTAAAACAGCATTTTTTAATTAATTTTTTACAATCAAATATCAGTAAAACCAAAGGACTTTTACATGACTAACTAATAGCTCGACCCATAACTCAAACTTTAAAGCTCTTGATTCTGCTTTGTACGTGCTCTTTTTCCATAGTTCTTACATATTATTCATACTTTAACTTTAGCATTTGTTTTGAAAAGTAGTATTGTAAACGTATAGAAACATGATTCAAATGTATTTTTGTAATAAAATTGATTTGTATCCCTTTGCTCATGAATATTATATTATATGCCATGTCATATATTATAATGTGTGCATGACCAGGGTACAAAAAAAAAATTGCATATTTTTTTCCCCATATTTTTGAAAAGTCTCTTATATTCACCAAGGCTGCATTTATTTAAACAAACTAAACAATATTTTACATATTATGCAGGCCTATGTATGGGTATTTAGCCCCCTAGCTTATTAGCCATTTTTATTTTTCCAATTTAAATGGTATATGGCCGATATGCATATTAAATTATTTCTATTTGAAAGTACAATGACTATAAATAATAAAACATGATTGCTCATTATTATCTTATTATATATGCATGTATATGTAAACTATAGTTTCAATGACATGTGAAAGCAGACTTGAATGTTCAGCCTGACGGTGTTAATCAGTGTAGAACGGACTGACGTTCGGGTTGGTGTGTGTGTGTCACTCCTCATGGGTGGGCCGGGGCAGAGGTCGTAATCTCACACATCCAGAAGGGTGTGAATGTACTACTAGTGTGTCTATTAAATTTGGGCTAGGATGATTAACAGACAGTTATGTGCACACATCCGCGTACGGTACTCATTCCTGTCGAGACTGTCACCTCTCTGTTACAACAGACGTTTGATTGTAACCAGTTCAGTTTAAAGGCAATTGGCTGCATAAAGCCAATAGAAAGACGCTTTAAATAGCCTCGTTTCCATTACCATTTGAAAATGCACCCAATGGAAACGCGTCAATTTCGCAAAAACTCCCATATATCGCAAAAAAGAAACACCTCATATGTTTCCCTTGCCATTAATGCTTGGATAACATGCTTACGTCTCCTTCCATTAAAAATAATGTCTTGTGCGATGGCTGCGATATACATAAACCTACCAACATATGTTGCCATGATTTTTGGAAGGACTTATCGCAAGAGGAAAAAAAATGTTTTATTGCATAAGACTTTTTTTATCAACATTTTGAAAATATCGCAAACGTTTTTTTGCAAATCTGTAATGGAAACGCGATTGATGGAGGAAAAACATTTCTGTATCCAGTTGGGGTGCAACGTACACAGAAGTCACGATTCGATACGAGTTCGGTCCAATAGGATAAATGGTCACACTTTAGTTTAGGGGTCCAATTCTCACTATTAAATAACTATTAACTATTATGAGTTTTCCCTCAATAAACTCCTAATTACTGCTCATTAATAGTTAGTAAGGTAGTTGTTAAGTTTAGGTATTGGGCAGGATTAATGGATGTAGAATATTATCATGCAGAATAAGGCATTAATATCTGCTTTATAAGTACTAATAAACAGCAAATATCCTAGTAATATACATGCTAATGAGAATTGGACCCTAAACTAAAGTGTTACCGGAAAAAGCAACAAATCCCCAATGCTAGGTTTCTTTTATTTTGAACAGACAGCTAGTGCACCTAGCGTCCCCTGAGGTAGTTGGTCATTTGTTGGTCAAATTTGGGTCAAATATGGACAAACCCAACTGTTGGGTTAAAAATTTAATTAAAAGATTTAACCCAATGGCTGGGTTTGTCCATATTTTACCCATATTTGGCTTGAAACAACTCAGCATTTTTTAGAGTGAGTACAGCCTCCTCTGGTGTATTTAAACATTCAAAGCTTAAGCTCAACCGTCCTATACTTAAGCATTTCGTGCACAGCCTTTCAAAGTATACTTTGCCTAACGCTCCAGTAGTTTGAAAAGAGCTGGGTCAAATGCCAGGCCAGGCTTGCCAGCTCGCCCTCCTTGCTCCGGCTGGCCAGCCCATTTTAGTATTTTCCAGACAGTACACTTTGTGATTGTGACAGGGCCAGTTTTTCCACCTCCCTGCTAATCTGAAGCATCCAAGACAAGTCGAACGGCTCTGATTTCCTACATATCTGTACTAGTTTTGTTTCTCATGCCACACTGCATTTATTTCATGTTCATATGTAATAATAAGTGGGAAAATGTACAATAAGTATCCGTCATTATTTGTTTTTTTGTGGACGTAGTAGTGTACTTCAAGTGCTATTGGAAACTTCCTAATTCCAGTTCCCACTGCTGAAGTCGTGATTATGAGCTTGTCGTGTTGAAGTGGTTTGTTGTCTCGAGAGGCGTTCATGTCCAATTCCCGACTAGGAAACTCGTATTGAAGATTATTCCGATAGCACGTGAATGCAGAATGAATCTCTGTTGGAGTCTCCTTTTTCAATGTGGGAAGTTTTGTCTCTGAGGAAGTGTAACCCATTGAGGTTTGGAGTTTCAAACGTATATTTCATGGCATTGTGTCTTTCATGACTTAATTTGAGGAAACTACACTGGCTCAGTGTTTTCTGTGGCATATTAAGCTGTTCTTCTGCTTTTCATTCGCTAAAGCCCTCCAGAAGGCACTCTTATTCCTAAAAGACAACTTTGCTGCTGTTATAATAAAGCATGTGCTCAGATTTCTTTTACAGAACCGTTTGAGATGGATCAGAATTTTCTACGTTAATGTCTTCTGTGACGTCTCTATTATCTGTCGCGGTTTGAAAATGGGTTTTATATTAAATAGTTTTGCGCTAATTAAAAACTTATCTGGATGTTTGCCTAGTTCTCTTGTTAAAGAAGAGTTAATTAAACGCTTTGGATTAGCTGTAATAATAACATCTTGTTCAAAGTAAGCTGTAACCGGTCTCACCGGTGTGTCTAGGTTTAGGTGGTAGAATTAGATGGACAATGAGGAAAAAGATTATTTACAAGCTTAAACTTGTTTCACATGGACTGTTTATAGACCTACTTAAATGACTTTATCATGCATCACATGTGCGTTGCAGTCTAGCTCTCCTTTTTTCTTATGAAATGGTCTAAAATATTTCAGAGGATATATTGCAGTTGTATAGCGAAATTTGCTCACAAGCTATATATTAGGAGTGTAACGGTTCAAATAAAATTACTCACGGTTCGGTTTTTATCACGGTTTTGGTACGGTTCGCCATGTTCAGGGGAAAAAGGACTACTGTCAAATAAAAATAACGAAAATAAGAACAAATAATCAAACTACAAACAAAAGTACAAATAAATACTATAGAGCAAAGATACAAATAAAATAAACAGTGCTTTTCATCTTTTTCAGGTAGGTGTGACAGCAAGTCTTGCGCTTGAACGGACAAATTCACACCAAAATTGTCAACATGCCCGTCTTGGCGAGTATCCTAGCAGACGTAGTAGGTTATGTCTTAAGTGAACGTAAACAGTCGAGAAACAACGCATGTGTTTCAGTATCAGTATCAGTGTACTGGATCTATGCATCATCTCTTAAAGTAACACCGGCCTAATATTCCTGCTGTGTGTTTTTAATGTTAATAAAACAACATAAGCAAGGAAATCACTCTTTTGTAACTTTATTAATGATTAATCTATTTTAAAAATGTATACAATGAATGAAGATTATATGTAATGTTTACATTTGATTACTTCATTCAATTTCTGTACCTGAAAACTCTATATTTGCGCGCTGTCTGATACGCGGCTTTCTGTGCGCGTGCTTCAGATGAGTGCGCTTGAATGTTTAAATTGGCAAGTCTTAAATGAGTTTAGTTTAAACACAGATAGCAACGTGTGCTGTTCAGGTCTCGCCTGCTTTCCTGTGCTATCAACACCTGGGTGATGACGGCGTAAATGACTGATTTGTGAAAGGGAATGGTTCAGATAAGTGAGCTCTAATCAATTAATTAATTAAACTTTAAAGCCAATTTTTCTGTATCAAAATGAATTTTAAATTACTTAAAAGTGTGTGAAGCCTATACTCCCTCCAGAAGTATCGGTGGCAAAAATGATATCGGTGGTCATGTTATGTCTGTTATGTATGTTACGTCTCTTCATGTCTGAGCGGGCGTTTTTTGGCCACAATAAACCGCAGTGTATGGATCAGGCTTTATTCTGAGAGTCAGAAGTTTGACTCAGCTAAACTGTGTGTGTTATGATGATTCGTGCCAATTCATTCACATTAAACAAAGCATGTTTTTATAACTGTGGCTGAATGTTGGGTAAGCAGAAAGATGGACGGCTTCTATCTTGGTCTACATATTGTTGGTATTTCCTTCCATTTTTGTTAACAAACTTTGTTTGTCACAAAATATCTATTTTTAGGGGTCTCTGTCAATGATCTTTTTTTAAAACATTATGATATCAGATTTTTTTAAATATCAGAAGTCAGAATACAAGAAACGAGAACCGATCTTTATGATTTGGTCTTGTTCCTGTTTGTAAATATATTTTTGTTTCTTTGCATGGTTGATATCCTGATATGCTGCTCTCTCTCTGTTCATAGACACGTATGCAGAGTTTACAGCCGGACCCAAATGCTCAGTACCGCAGCGTGTACGGAGCGCTGAAGAGGATTGTGCGGACTGAGGGCGTCCTTCGGCCCTTGAGGGGACTCAATATCACTGTACTGGGGGCCGGCCCCGCACACGCGCTCTATTTCGCCTGCTACGAGCGAATCAAACGCAGCCTTAGTGACGTCATACAGAACGGCGGCAACAGCCACATTGCTAACGGTAGGAGAAGGGGTTCATTTCCCAAGTCTTAATGAGTGTCCATTAGGAGTAATTGATATTTTTGGGGTTATTGCGATAATCCAAGACATATGGGAAAAGGTTAACAAAAAATGTACTGTTGATTAAAATGCTAAATTTGATATTACATTGGGTGTGTAAATGAATAGGCTTGGATTTGGTGCTGGAAACCCAACGCACAGGACAATAGAGACACCAGAATAAACATATTCATGATTCTGAAGCTGAAAATACAGAATTATTTGAGATGAATATGCTTTCACTCTGTCATTGGCTAGATATATTTAAAATAATGTAGGCCACTTTTTACTGGTAACATTTGGCATTATCAGGACACACAAATGTTCCCCTATTGAATTATTATACATTATATTCAACATTATATATAGTAGTTTAATGTAGTACTCACACGAAAACTCTGAAAACCTTTTTCTCCTGCAGGAATCTTTATTTTGGGTGAACTATCCACAATAATACATATTGTTGCATTTTTGTATTGCGATATATTGTGACTTTTATATATTTCTGATTTTTGAAAGAGCAAGGGATCGAGGGTTTATAATTTGAAAGGCTCAGGCCAGGGTTGTTTGTGGGGAATGGAAAGTAGAGTGCCATCTTGTCTGGGAAATAGGACATTGTAAATGTAGCAAATTAGTCCCTGTTCCTGTTTTTTCCACATGTTGTCACTTGATATTTAAAATGTTTCTTTTCTTCAGGTGTGGCAGGGAGTGTTGCTACTGTCCTCCATGATGCAATCATGAACCCAGCAGAAGGTACAGTATTCTTCTTTCACTGTCAATACCGTCAATAATACATATTATATTTTTGGTACTGTTATGAGCAGGGCTTGACTTAACTGTTTTGCTCTCCAGCAACTGTGGCTACTGGTTTTCCAGTTACTAGCCACTCAGCATTTTCACCAGCCACAATTTAGACATGGATACCATGGGGAAAAACTGCCATATAGATATTTAATATTTATTTTGTCAGCAGGAATATTAGGCTGCTGTCACTTTAAGACCTGACGCACGGATCCATTGTACTGTTACACATCCGTTTTTTTTCTCAACTGTTAACGTTCACTTAAAACATAACTGACTGTGTTTATGTGAATACTCGCCAAGACTAGCATTTTTGCGTTCTCTCGCAATTATACAGTTGGGTAATTATATTTTATATAATTGGCGGGAATCAGGGAGAGGCTATCAATATTGAAATCGGTTTTGATTGCACGCTCGTTTTTTACTTTTACATTCCAGTTCGCGGTCAAGCGTAAGCTACTCTGCACAGGGAGCGGCAGCACTGACCACACATTTTACATCATATTTGTCAATGACAACACATTTTGACTTTGAACGTGCGACGCTCACATTTATTTAATTCAATCAGCAGCAATAATCACATTAAGCCATTTCGTGATTCTTGGTTTCGCTCTCAAATTTAAGACCTCTTAAAATGATAATTAAGACTTTGGTTATACTATTTAACCCTCTGTTGCTATTTAGTTTTTTCCCCCTGAATTTTATTACTTCATCGGAATGGTACGAAACTTGGTAAAGGTTTTGGAAATTGCTGTGTGAACACACACACAAAAAAAATCATGGACATGATTTGAAAAGTTTAAATGGTCCTGAAAAAAAAAATAGTTGCTCTTGTTTTGTTTGTGGCTTAAAAATGAGCTTTAGAAATAAATGAATTTCATGTAGTGGAAGCGTTCGGTACTGCGCCCAAACATTCTTACTGAACGCTAATTTTTTGAGATATAAGCCTCAAATTTGGAACACAGCTTGTTAAGATTTATGGCTTTGATTTTCTCAGTTTTAGAGTAAAATATATATTTTATATAAACATTGAAAATGGTATTTTTGAGCATTTTTCATTACAATACATTTTTTAAAGTTCAGTTTTTCAACTTTTTTTCACTTCAGCAATAATCTGCCAAGTGTCTTTAAAAAAGAGACCAAACTGAAGTCTGTGGTCCAAAGCGTTTAAGATTTATGACTGGAGGGTTTTTCACATGGAAGGTTTAAGTTGGAAATTTAATTTTCAGGTCTATGCTTAAAAAAGTGAATAAATGGATTATAACTACTGCATAAATATAATTTAGTGCCATAAAATCCCATTAAAAATACAAAATATGAAATAAAAAAAACACTATCGAACTAAAATATCATTTTTGACATTATAGTAGATGGTTAAATTTGACACATCTAACTTTTTATCTGCAAATTTTACATTCGCTTGTTGTTTACTAGTTGACATGATTGCTTTGTGTATTATTAATCATGGTTCATAACGGTCAGCATAGACTTACAGTTCAGTTACGTGTACGATGAGTGTTTTATGTTCTAACGTTTCCAGTCTTTTTCTCCTCTATTAGTGGTGAAGCAGAGGATGCAGATGTATAACTCTCCGTACCGAAGCCTGTATGACTGCGTGCTGACGATCAGTCGTAAGGAAGGACTGGCCGCCTTCTACCGCAGCTACAGCACTCAGCTGACCATGAACATCCCCTTCCAGGCCGTTCACTTCATCACGTACGAGTTCATGCAGGAACATTTCAACCCAGAGCGCCAGTACCGGCCTGAAACGCACATCGTGTCCGGAGCGGCGGCCGGAGCCGTGTCCGCTGCCATCACCACTCCGCTAGACGTGTGTAAGACGCTGCTAAACACGCAGGAGAACGTGGCGCTCAGCTCCGCGCATGTTAGCGGGCATCTCTCGGGGATGGTCAACGCGCTCAGGACAGTTTACCGGCTGGGGGGCGTTCCTGCGTTCTTTAAAGGCATCCGAGCTCGGATCATTTATCAGATGCCGTCTACCGCCATCGCCTGGTCCGTCTACGAGTTCTTCAAGTACTTTCTGACCCAACACGAGCCACACATCCAGGAACTGGGGAGGAACACTCACAAGGCCAGTCCCACATGAGGCCCGACCCAAAGAGCGCGCATGAGGATCATGTTGGAAGAGAGAGGGGGGGGAATGTAGAGACTCATTTCATATGCAGTAGACACTCCAGTCTCGAACCTTTTAATTTATTGGAAGAGTTTAATGTCATTACAGGAATGTATGGACGCTGCACACTACAGAACGTTTCTGTTAAACGTGACTGAAACGGAAAGGTAAAGAGGTGTAGATGTTTTTTTGGTGTGTTCTCACCGACATAAGATATTTATGATTGAGCGTGATGATGTATGGATGCGCATCTATATTTATGTATGCGCTCACACTGTCTTCTCAATGATAAAACAAACCCATTTGGACGTTTTATTGGCTTTTCTGGACTTTTTAGGGGTTCAGGAAAGTTTCATTTTTATTTTAATTATTTTTAATAATTGAAGGCATTGCTGAATTCTGCTGCGCAATAATCAGACCGATTTTTGTTATTATTGCCTATGAAATCTGCCTGGGTTTCAAACTATTTTGAATTGGACACACTGCTTTTTTTAAAAACCTTAATGTGATTATCAAGTGTTCTTTATGTATTTACATCTTTATGTCTTAGTCAGGGAAGATGGCATATTTAATTTGACTAAAATAAATCAAGGCTATTAGGAATGGAAGTACAGTAGGTAATTTTTACAACATGAACAACAAACATTTAATTTACAGTTTTATTCATTTAGATTATCCAAATGTGATTTTATACTTTACATTTTTAAGATAGGCTATTGAAATTTGTTTTCCAAAGAATGAATTGGATGCTAATTTAATTAAATGGCCTGATTTCATCACACTAAAGCACTTGGGATTTCTGAAAGATGGTGTATGGATTCTGAATGACTTTGACTTTAGCAGTGCCATTTGAAAGTTGAGTTTTTTCGTGTGATAACTTTTTTTCTTTTGTTGTTTTATGACATGATTGCCATCGATATATTTATATACAATATATATTTATCTATAATTGGAGACATGATCTATGCAGTGGGTTTCGCAGCTTTGGAAGGTCTTCTGCTTGTAAGACTGTGCACTAAAGCTGCAGTTGAAATCACAATTCCTGAATGATTTACATATGAGGTTTCATAGCTGTGTTCCTCCCCTGACAATCCATGTCAGTCTGGGACCGGGTTTATTCTGTTTCTTTTGTGTTCTGCCTCTGTGAATCTCCAGATTCAGTCACCCATGCAGAATAGAGCTTGCCGTGTTTGGCAGAAATAGACCTTTACTCCGAGTAGATGGCATATGTAATGTTATGAAACGAAAACAAGGTTGACATTGAGACATTGAAGGTGCAGGTTCTACATATCGGGCCTCCATGAAATTCGCAATTAAATATTTCAAGGGATAGTTCACCCAAAAAGTTTCCTCATTTACTCACCCTCATGTCGTTCCAAACCCAGACTGTCGTTCATCTTCGAAACACAAATGAAGATATTTTTAATATTCGCTCATTCTTTTGTCCATCCGTTGAAAGTCCACACAACCAACATTTTCTGGCGACAAAAATGTCAAAAAACGCTTTGTATGTTGAAGAGATTTAATTTAGGCACGTCAAATATGGTCATATTTGAATAGATTTTGATTCAAATGTTTGATTCAAATGGATCACTTTTACAATGTCTTTATGAACTTCATGAAGCTTGAAGATTTGGGTTGTGTGGACTTTCAATGGAGGGACAAAAAAAATGAAACTATTAGGGGTTGAACTACTTCAGATTTTTTTAAAGTCGACATTTCTGTGATTAAAGCAGAGTCGGTGTCGACTAGTCGCTGATGACGTCATGACCAAATAAGATGACCCTCGATCTGAGACTCGAACGCGCTACATAACCGCTTATTTTATCAATTCTTTTGTCTTTGGGTCGTTATATTTTTATATTTCTGCACGTTCTGAATCAGATATAGATAAAGTGGCACAGTAAAGATTACATTTCTGTGAATGTTTCTGTGTGGGCGATCTGCACGTGATTTGTGCGCGTGTGTGTGCGCGCGCGCGCGTGATGTAGAAGCAGTTTAAAACGACGATTCATTTACCTGTACAATAAGCTGTGTAAAACAAGCATTCACGTGATAAATCTTGAGCATCCAGGTGGTGTAATCAAACATATTTGTGCAGCGCTCTCTCGGTGTACAGGTGAAACTCGAAAAATTACAATATCATACAAAAGTTCATTTCAGTAATTCAACTTAAAAGGTGAAACTAACATATCATATAGACTCATTACATGCAAAGTGAGATATTTCAAGCCTTTATTTGTTATAGTTTTGATGATTATGGCTTACAGATATGAAAACCTTTTCACAATATTCTAATTTTGAATTTGGGGTTTTCATAAGCTGTAAATATCTCACTCTGCATTTAATGAGTCTATAGCCTATAATATAGGCTATCAGTTTCACCTTTTAAGTTGAATTACTGAAATTAACTTTTGCACGATATTCTAATTTTTCGATTTTCACCTGTTTTCATTTATTTGTCATTTTAACTTAAACGGAGCATAAAAGTGGACTTAAAATTTCTCATCCTGTTGCGCCCTCTATAGGCCACGATCAGCGATCAGTCTGCGCAACCCCTATGGTTAGATTATGGGTGAATAAATTACAGAATTAAATTGTTTGCGGGGTAAACTAACTTATTGACTTTCAGTCCGAAAGTGAACATTTTCGTAAGGCTTTTCAAATGTCTTTTTACACACATTAGTTCTGCTTGAATTTCTTGAATGAGGCCCAATATGTTGATTTAATAGTTTTCGTTCCTGGCAATTGACATATAGCACATGCTCTTAAAGGGATAGTTCACCCAACTTTTAAAATTCTGCTATAATTTTCTCACCCTTAAACTGTATACGTTTCTTTCTTTTGTTGAACACACAACATATTTTGAAGAATGTTGGTAACAAACAGTAGACGGTAGCCATCAAATCCATTATGTGTGTTTTTTCCTATGGAAGTCAATGGCTAGCATCCACTGTCTAGCTACCAGCATTCTTCAAAATATCTTCTGTGTTCAGCAGAAGAATGAAACTCGTACAAGTTTGGAACAACTTGAGGGAGAGTAAATGATGACCGAATTTACATTTTAGGGGTGAACTATCCCTTTAAGGTCTTTGCACTGGAATCACGCACAATAATCAAGCGAGTGGAGGAATAGATTTGTAAATAGTGTATCGTATTCGTAAGAGTACCTCATTTTGACAACTTAGATTTGACTTTTAGGTCTTGATTGAGACGACGTCCCGTTATTGGAGCCACAGATGAAACGCACACCGCAGCTTTATATCACAGCGCCAGTGCTTTATTTGCCTCTTTATGCCAGTGTTCATGAAATTGGATTGTCCACATCTCTGTAACCTGTGCAGCGTACGGGACGGTGTGTGTGTGTGTGTGTGTGTGTGTGTGTGTGTGTTTCTGCTCTTCTAGCTGTGTGTTCTGTGCCTTTCCTGTCCTCTCTCACTTCCGGTTCCCTTGGACTTTTGTCCTCTGCCTTCTGTTTGTTTCAGCTCAGGAGGATTGGACATTCCTTAATGAGATTTTTGTTTGTTTGCCTTTGATTAAATGCTTATTGGTATAGTGCTTCATTTGCGTGTGTGTTTCCAGACCACTATTTTTAACTATAGCATCTAGGAACCAAAGAAATTGACTCATTCACTCACTACATTACCATTACAGTAGGCTATAGCTTTATATATAGTTTACGTAGACATTTCATAAGTCACCCTTTGAGTTGTCAAGTTGGGAACAATGATGTTAGCGTTGGAGGTGGTGAGATTGTGATGTGTTTTAGGTTTTCCCTTTTTTTTCTAGGTTCATTACGACTGAGAAGATGGATGTGCTGGTAGGCCTATTAGTCGTATTGGGCCTGTTTGGCCTTTTATTTGATTGACCAAGGACGAATTTCCGTTACCCTTTGGCTCCATGTTGTACGGTGGGAAACCCCATGGGTTTGTTTCCTCTGGGACCAGCATTTCTGAATGCTTCGTATCTGTAATTGCTCTTCAAACTTGCTGTTTTAAAATGCACATTGTATTTGACTCAGTATTTCATTTCTCTCATGTTAAAGGTTTTGCATTTGGGTTGAATATTAATAGCATTCCTTTGGTTCTGTGTATGTTGATCTCGCCTGTCTTACTGATGATCATCACGTATACCATGCATTGAGAAAACCGATGTACCGATGTCATATCCTGAAAATTGCTACATTAATTATGCTGCAGTATTGCTCTCATCAATATGCACCATGAACGCATTCCTGTCTTGGCCGCTTTGTGCGCACATTGTAGAAGAAGTGGGAGGATTTTGATAAAGATAGTGCCATAGTGAACGCAAGTTTGTTTTTTGTTTTTAACAGCAATGAAAATGAAAAATGTAGAGACTCAAACTGATTGGTGGAAATGCTGCTACAGTTTGAAACACTGGAACTGAAATAAAATGCACAATGATCAAATGATTTAAATGCATCTTATTCAGTAAAACGAAGTTTGTACCATTGTATGAATGTATTGCTAATGATTGTAAAGCTCATTTTATGGCCTGCTAATAAAAAAAGAATAATTTAATTCAGAAAGACAAAATGAATTTATATAGGCTATACAACATGTTCTTAAAATCTTTTTTTTTTTCTATTTGAATGAAACATTTCTTTGGCTGAAGTTCATTTTAAAATTCAATTTCTATATTTAAAAAAGATATTGTTAAACTATTCTAACTTGTGGACACTGATTTTATAGTAGGTGATGCTGTCATATGTTGGAATATAAAACTATTAAAGGAAGGCTACCTAACTTTTTTTTTTTTTGTTCAAAATTAATACAATTTTATAAAATAAGTCAATGCATTAATCCTTACCCTGGCCTGATTTACTATGATATGCCTATTATATTTTAGACCTGTTGGGATGGTTTTCGCGCACATGCGTCGCTCGACCGTGTGTGTCTCGTCATATCCGTTAATAGAGAAAAGATGCTCGGCTATTTTTGACACGTGTCTGGTGTGCAGTGG